CTACCATGATGGAATTAGGTCCCAAATGACCACGCTTATTATGGTTTTGGGGACCTAATCCCAAAATAGTAGTGTGCGTGGACCCTTTTGGGCTAAGTTTAGGGTTTAGGGTTTAGGGGTAACGCCTTTCGGTTTGCTCGGTCGCAAGGACCGGCTCGGACGGGGTGATGCTGAAGGAGGCCACTGGACTTTCCACCATGAATAGTTCTCTAAATTAGGGCCCCGTTTTAGGTCTTTTTAGTTCTCCAATATAGAGCGCACCCTTATAAAAAGGATCCTAAAGGGGACCCTTACCCACATGCGGTTCTGTTGCGGTTTGTGTTTCGAGAGCTTCCGAGTTTTGTGCTTGGGGAGGTTCGCGGTAAGGGGGCGGGGGGGCTCCGTTCTATTTAGGTTTCAGAGTTTCGGATCTAGGATTTCGGGCTTTGGGCCAAAGCTTTGGGGTGTAGTGTTTGTACAGCATGCAGGCCAGGCTTTGCTAAGCTTTAGACCACATGAATCGGTTGGAGTACGAGGTGGTGGTAGCCAAGGCAAAGTTGTCTTGAACCCAATATCCTGAAGCCGTCAGAGTACGAGGTGATGACAGTCTATATGCCGAAACAGACCCCAACACGGAAAATCCTGAACCCATCTAATTGGTCTCCCCGTCAGGTCACGGGCCCAAACTCCATGGCATAGAGCGGGTGTCGCTAGGGTTTGGGTTTAGGGCTTAGGGTTCAAGGTTCTATCAGAATATATGTTCAGTCCCAAAAAGTTTGCGAGTGCAGGCAACATTTATCAACAAGTCGCTGACGTTTCTGGAGCAGGCCACCTCTTCTCGGATGGTCTACCAGCTAGAGCCTAGCATTCAGTGTGCCAGGCTTTTGGCGGACCCTACACCTGAAAACCCTACACCCTATACCCTAAAGTACTCTAGCCCTATGCCCTAAACCCTAAATCCTAAACCCTAAACCCTAAACTCTAAAATACTATAGCCCTATGCCCTAAACCCTAAATCCTAAACCCTACACCCTAAACCCCTAAAATACTATAGCCCTATGCAAGCTCTGGACCCTATCAAATGGTTGTGCTTTTGTTGTTTAGTGTTTCTGCTTGGGATGCTGCGGGTTCCTGATTAGAGCCCTTGCTGTTTAGAGAGCACCCTGTCTCTTATTTCTGAAGCACACTTAAGCCAAACAGAGGCCCTGAATTGGGGCCATTAGTGGTGTAGCCGGTGAACCATGGACACCAGATTTTGCAAAGGGTTGTATATGGCACATTCTTATGGCTTGATCTAGTAGCACTACCTTTTGCCAGGTCTTGGCATACACCCGAATATTGAGGTTGTTGCAGGTTCAGGTAGAATGGGGAAGTCCACGGAGAGCAGCCTGAAGCCCAAACCCACGCCCTGAACCCTAAATTCCTCAACTTGGAAACCGCAGACCCTAATTCGCCTACGACCCTCAACTCGTAAGCCCTGAAAGCCCTAAACTACTGCAAGCTCTCTACTTCTTTTTCTGGATGCTCACACTCAGCCAGGTGGTCGTGGCTCTTGGCAACAAGCATCGAGACCACATTCCGCATCTGGGCGTGACAGGTTGTAACGTCAGGTGGGCTGGTTTAGTACGGGTGATGATATAAATCCTGCATTGCCCATAAATACCATAATTCCCATAGTTCAGGGTCCTTAATGCAGGATTTACATCATCAACAGTAGTTTGGGGCAGCCGTTTTATTTTAAGGGTCTGAGAAGGGTTCCATGCGGGTTCTACAAAGTGTTTCCCTAAACCCTAAACCCTATTTGCTTGCGGTGTTTCTCTGGAAGGCTTGGTTTACGGTTTGGGGTTTATGGCTTTTGGATTGAAGCTATGGAATCCCGAAACACCTACGTATAGTCTCCATTGCACTTCCCATTCAGGGTTACCTAATAGGATCCTAAATTAACTACTATGGGGCCTATGGGTATAGTCTCCATTGCACTTCCCATTTAGGGTTACCTTACAATATCCTAAAAGCACAAGACTGGCTAAACCAAAGCGACTAACGACGATGGAGACTGTAGGTAAACCCTAAACCTATAAGTGAGCTTGCTGGGCTATAGGAGCCGTGGACTGACATCTCGGACAGAGCCTTAGGCTTTAGGATTTCGGGTTGGTGCGGATGTCCTAAACCCTGAACCCCTAAACCCTATAAACCCTAAACCCCTAAACCCCTAAGCCCGCAACCCTAAACCCTAAATCCTAAACCCTAAACCCCTAAGCCCTAAACCCTAGACCCTATGCCCTAAACCCTAAACCCTGAATCAACTCCTCAAGCCCTTTATCCCGAAACCCCTGAACCCTCAGCCGGCTTGCAAAATTGAAGGTGCTGAGGTTGCCAGCTTCTGCTTTTGTGGGTACTCTCAAAGTTTAGGGTTCAGGGTGTAGGGATATACTTTTCGTAGGGACCAGGCTTTAGCGTTCTTAGATTCGTTTAGTTTTTACCCGAGCAAAACTCCAAGGGTCTATTTCCTAAACCCTCCAAAAGCAGGATACATGTTTAAAAGCCAGGTAAACCCTAAACCCTTGGCGCCCTAAACCCTGAACCCCAAACCCTAAATCCCAACCCCCCATCTCTTTAACCCTCACCCTTAACCCCTAAACCCTAAACCCTGAACCCAAATCCCTAAAACCCTAAACCCCAAACCCTCTAAATCCTAAACCCTTAAGCCCCAAACCCTAACCCCTCAACCCCTAAACCCCAAACCCTCTGAACCCTACTCCCTAAACCCCAAACCCTCTAAACCC